CTCACCCCTGGCTCCCCTCAGTCAGGGCCTGCTGGGTGCTCCACGCCCACTATGGCTATTTGGAACAGCAGAGGAAACCCAAGCCCAGAGCACTCCCCCAGGAGCCCATCCACTCCTTCCTGCTCCCCTACGCCCTCCCAGCCAAGCCCCTGGAGGGACTCCTGTGCCCCACAGCACAAAGGCTCCCAAACCAGCCTCTGCAGACCTCTCCCAGGATTCTACAGAGACGGGGTTTGAGTGCGTACCCTACGGGAGCCCCAGTATATGACCACTGCAGGGCCCATCACTGCAGTCTCTCCCCACCAGCCCAGTGCCCCACTCACCCCGCCACACACGCTCTGGCCCCCCTGCCCCCAGGGACAGAGCCCGTGCCCCACTTGGCTGCAGGGACACCTGCCCAAGATACCACTCTACTTACCAGCATCACCACGCACCAATTCAGGATGCCACGGTAGTTGCTGAAGCCACTGTCGGAGCTGAACAAAGAATCCTGCAGGCGGTGGCACCTGGAAAGCGGGGTGTGGGGGGGGACCTTTATGAGCAGGTTACCAGCGCAGACCCAGGCAGTGAGGACCGCAGGCAAGGGCAAAAGCAGGCCCGCGGCTCCAAGCCCTGCACATACTGAGAGCCTGGCCTCCCCCAGCCCCTTAGGAGTCGGCCTCAGGGCCCAGGGTGGAGCCAACCTCAGCCCCTCCCTCAGGGCAGCTCTCACCCATCCTGGCCCAGCAGTCGTGACCCTACCTCAACCCTCTCTTCTGCCCACACATCCTTCTCCCCATTTATAGCCAGAGAGAGGCCACGCCCAGCCAAGTGCTCAGGAACACTCAGAGGCCTGCCGCTCCAGGCAGCTGGCAGGGACAGGCCACAGACGGGACCTAGCACATCAGGCCTGGAGTACCCCAGGCCAGGAGCCAGCCTGGCTCCCCAGTTGCCTCCAGCTGCTGCCACACACGCTGGCTATGGTGTGGTGATGGGCCAACAGGAAGAGTCCACCCCAGGGATCTGGGGGCCTACCCGGCAACGCTGGACAGCATGGAGGGGAGGGCAAATCTGCCTTCTCAGATGGCTCACCCACCTCCTCCCCATGCTGGTCCAAGTTGGCACAAGGACCCACGCCAAGGGCCAGCTGAGCACCTGGCCTGACATGCACCTTCCTGGGGGCAGGAGCCCAGCCCTCATGTGGCCTCCGATTGTTTCTGAAAAATGATAGCCTGTCCCAGTTCAACCACGGCAGTTAGCACTGTGTTCCTGCTTGGGCTGAGGGGCCAGCGGGAGCCGACCCAGGGCCTAGGCACCTGATGGCAGGGAGTCTACAGCAGAAGCAGGGAGAAGCCTGCCCACCGTGAGAGCTCCCACTCCATGCTGGGGCTGGGGGACACAGAAGCTGACCCTCACACCTCTGCCTCCTCAAGGCAGAGGTGGAGGAGGGGCCACAGCAAGGCAAGGCCAGGCCCAGACCTGGCGGCCAGTTCACAGGGGGCAGCCCTGCCTCACCCCAACTGCCATGCCACCAGGAGACCTCCACAGCATTGAGCAAGGCCTCTGGTTTTGTAAGAGTAGAGGCCAGGGCCTCCCCTTCCCTCCTGTGGACACACATCCGCCTCCAGATAGCTGGGGCACTGCGCGGATGCCCTCTCTGGCGGCCCTGCCTCAGTGGCATGCCCGGCTATGGTTGCGGTCAGCACTCGGTCGGCCCCAGCCAGGAGGTGAGGGGCCAGGGAGGACTCCTCACTCTGCAACCAGGACAGTGCCAACAGCCTGGCCTTCCCAGGCCCGCCTGCACCTGGCCCGCCCACCACTTCCAGTCACAGGCCTGTGCTGCCTTGAGCCCCGCTTCCAGGTCTGTCCTGGGCCGCACAGTGAGGCTGCGATCTCCACCCGAGGCCCTCTTCCTGAGTCTCTGCGCCTGCCTCTCTGAGAGCGGGCAGGGGAACAGTTTCTGGGCCTGTCCACTGCATGGGCCCATCTGGCCCTGTCCCCCAAGTTCAAGCCCATTCACTTTCACTGGAACCATCCCCCAAAGCCACCTCATGCCACAACCTGCCAGCCACCCATCTGCCCATTAACATGCCCAGAGGACTGTTTCACAACAGTGTGACCCTTGCCCCCTTTGGGCCACTAAGAAGACCACGCTGACTTTATTTGCAGCAATCGCTAAGATGAAAACAGAGGTGGGGAAAGAGTGGTGTTTTTGGAATCTGGCTATCAATAACATTATAACAATAAATAATATTAAAAACTTTTCCAAATCCCCGCTGTCAGGCTTCCAAGGCCTTCCTCAAGGCACCCTCACCTACTCCCCAGGGCCCTCCATAGGCCCTCTGACCATCCCCAACCCAGGCAGCTCCCTGGCTCCACAAGTCAGAGGCCCCAGCCCCAGGAAGGAAGCCCACCATCTACCAATACCCACGGAAGTCCAGCGGCTGCAGTGGACCAGAGGGCAGACAGGCATGGCTGGCATGGAAGGTGAGACCTGGCCACCATGCCCAGAGATGTCTTTGTCACCCTCTCCTCTACTACAGGGGCTGGCCACACCTCTGTACCCTCCAGCAGTCCCACACCTGCTCCCCAGTTCCAGCCAGCCAGCAGGCCACTGTAACTCATCACACATGTCACTTCACTCAGCCCTCGCATCAGCACCGGGAAGCGGGCACACATAGGGAAACTGAGGCTCACGGAGGTTCAAAGCTTTCCCAGAGTCACAGCCCCAAATGTGGACCACACCTGGGGACCACATGGTCCAGGTCCAGAGCCAAGCAGAACAAAGAGGGGCAGGGTGCCAGCTGGCCTCCCAGCTGCCACCTCCTGGGCACTTCCTACAGCCAGCCTCTAGACCAAGCCCCGGAGTACAGGGTGGTTGGGTGGGCTCCCCACACCCTCAGACCCTGCTGGAGAGAGAGAAACAGAGGACAGTCCAGAAACAAACACCCTGAGAGAGCCTGGAGTGCCTGTGAACCAAGGGCGGGAGGGCGCAGCAGGCATTCTGGGCACCGAGGTGTGTGGTACATCTGGAAGGGTTGAGCCACGAGGCAGAGCAAAAGAGGTGCCCTCTCTTTCCTGCTCCACAGCCACACCTGCCCCAGGCCGGAAGGAACAAGCTCACGCCCAGAGCCTGCCCTGCCTGCCCAGGCCCAGGTGAGCAGGAAGTTTGAAGGGGAGGAAGGCGGAAGAGGGATCAATGGCAACAAGCAGGGAGGAGGGAAGGCAGGTGAGAGGAGGAGGCCCAGAGGAGGGGCATCAGAGGCCAAATCCCAGGAAGGCAGTCAGAGCCAGGTCTGGCCCTGCCCCAGGAGCCCCTGAACTGTGTGGCATCTGGGTTTGAAGGACAAACACACATCACCGGCATTCCCCAGAGATCAGCGTGGAGGGGCGGGGGGGGGGAACACTGCAGTGGACCCTCCCTGTCATCTACTGTTTTCTCCTCCCAAA